CAAAATGCCCCCCCCCCCCCCCAACCAATATACCACCAAGGAAAAACCTAACTTTATTAAGGGCAAACAAAGGAAGTTGATCTGAGTGTCACGGGGAAGCCACAATGAGGGCATTACAAGTTTAAGTGGGGGAGAATGTCACGCTCCACCATCCTCTAGAAATTGGAAAGGCAAGCATGAGAATGAAGAATCTAGAGAAGAGCATGCAAAGATAGGTTTTTCCTTGGTGGTATATATATAACATTTAAATTTTAATATTCACATGTATAACATTCAAAGTATGATGACATTCAATTCTATGCAACGCATGATGAAATGTATTTTTCTTAAAAAATGTTATTTTGATCCCCAATTATTGAACTAAGATGAAGGGGCACTTTTGTAATGTGGTACCGCTCACCTACCACATCTCACATACCGCTCACCCACCGCTCACCCACCGCTCACCTACCTCCCATCTACCACTCACTTGCTTCTATAAATAGAGAAGGTGTGAACTCACTTGCTTCTATAAATAGAGAGGGTGTGAGACATAAGAGAGCAAGGGAAGAGATCTTAAGCTACGGCAAAGAAGGAGAGAATAACTAGAGTGCTAAAGACATAGGAGAGCAAGGGAAGAGATCTTAAGCTACGACAAAAAAGGAGAGAATAACTAGAGTGCTAGAGAAGATGAGAGCATCTTGAGTCCTTGTATCATGGTGTCGCTTGAGATGGAGGCCATGGAAGGAAGATGAGGGCTCATCTCTATGTATAAGCTATGTATTCTCCATTTCTTTTGCCTTAGTGAACTATTTGATTGATTTCCTCTCGTGAATGTAGATCCAGTTGGATCGAACCACGTAAACTATCCTAAACGATCTGTGTTTGCTTGTGTTTTTTGCGTTTCATTTCTATGCCAGAAAGTACATCTCACAAAAAAAAAAATTCATTTCTATGCCAGAAAGTACATATCTCACAAAAAAAAAATGTATTTGTCTCTTGTGCGATGTTAAAGATTTCAGTGTTAGGTGTGCACTTATTAACTTTTTTGTGGTTGATACGTAAATGAGTCAGAATTGCAAGGGGGGTATATGTAAATCCCTATAATTATAAATATATTAACTCGATACTTGACATTATTTGTATCTTATTTGTCTAAGTATAAACTGTTGATACTTTAAAATGTTTATTTAAATTTATGGTTTTTTAAAACAATCATGAATGTAAATAGAGTTTGTTGTCCTAATATTGTGCAAAAATCATCCACATGCACACCAAAACAAGTCAATATCTAATTGTTGGAGACAACATGTTCTTGGCATAAAAAACTCAAAATTGATAAATCCTTGAGCCACTTTATATATTTTTATTTGTGCTATTGACCTAACTCTTTGTCAGCCCAAACATGCCTACCCATTGTGCTCCTCTTCATAGGGCTTTATCTACTTTTTAGGACATTAGTCATGGCCCAACATACTAAGTTTAACTGACACTTTGGCAAGCCAGGCTAAGATTGGGTTTTGCTTGGCTCAAGGATGATCGACTTTGTCGGTGCACCTTAGTTTCAAATTAAATTAATAATAAAATTAATTTTAAAAAAAATTATAGTTTGATTCACATAAAACTGTATCGCTTGTAAACTTTGCTAAAATATTATATTTAATTAATCCAACTTAGCTTACAAGCCAAGCTAAATTTGATGTCTCTTACTTACAACCTAACCTAACAAAACATAAAACTAAGTTTAATTCAAACTAATAATATATAAACCTACCCATAAAATCAAAACTCAATTTAATCAGAACCTAAAACATAGTTCTATTTATAAAATATAAAATTAATTTTTGATTATTTTTTATTACATTAATTTATTTATCAAATAAAATAAAATAAAATAAAATTACATTTTTTTAAATCATGAGAATTAATAATTATGTATCAGAAAACTAATTAATTATGAAGAAAAAATAAATTAAAACCCTACCTATAAACCCTCGCCCACATCACCACGCTCTCCCGCTCCTTCCATCCCTCCCTGCATCGCCTTCGTGACCGAACGCTCGCGATACTGTTGCAGTTGGAGCTAGCTGGAAAGGCAACGATGGGACTGCGGCGTACAGAGACCACAGAAACTCCATCTATCTCCTCCTTCTACACCGCATGTAACCGAAACCATTGAGGAAGGTAAGTCTGTTCGCACCATTCTTTCTCTTCGCTATTCCGGGATTTACTGAATCCGCCCACTCATGGGATTGAAGGCCAAAGTCCGTGAAATCCGGATTGATCAAATCGCAGCTTTATTTTGTTCAAAATGACTGTCTGGCAAGGTTTTAGGTTAAATCCTGCTCTAAATCCGTTACCGGATATGAGAATTATATGAATGTATTGCTATTTTATCTTTTGGCGCAGGGTCCAAGCTTCGTCTGAGCTTCCACAAGTTTGGTTGCTGGGGACCCTTGCCTAGTTCTGAGAACAGCAGATATGAACTTTCGCTTCCAAAACCTCCTCGGTGCTCCGTATCGTGGCGGCAATGCGGTGGTCTTGGACGACAGCCTTCTATCTCCAGTGGGCAACCGCGTTTCCGTTACCGATCTCGTTAAGTCCCATGCTCTGACCCTTCCGTTCGAGGCCACGTCCAACATCTCTCGCATCGCTGTCTCTCCTGACGGCAAATTCCTCCTCACTGTAGACGACTCGTCTCGCGCCTTGTTTATTAACCTGCGCCGCCGCGTCGTTCTGCATCATATCACGTTCAAGAAGCGCGTCACTGCACTCCGCTTTAGCCCGGATGGCTCCCGCATTGCCGTTGGCCTTGGCAAGCTCTTGCAGATCTGGCGATCTCCCGGTTTCCGTAAGGAGTTCTTCCCTTTCAAGCTCGTTCGCACATTCGCAGATTGCGCCGCCTCTATTACGTCGCTCGACTGGAGTCCCGACTCTGATTATATTCTCGTTGGATCAAAAGATTTGGCGGTTCGGTTGTTCTTCCTGAAGAAAACAAAGGTTAGGACTAGGCCTTTCCTGTTTCTAGGGCACAGGGAGCCCGTTGTTGGAGCTTTCTTCAGTATAGAGAAGAAGAATTCTAGAGTATGCAGAGTTTATACTATATCAAGGGACGGGGCAATTTTCACCTGGAATTTAGAAGGAAGTAGTCATTCTGAAGATAAATCTGGAGGTAGCATTTCCGATCATACGGAACAAAGGAATTTAGAAGGACAGTTGGATGAAAATGACAAGGCCATCGAGGATCGTAAAAGGAAAAGGGAGAGTTTGGATGATGTTGATGCAGATACCTTTGGAATTCCTTTGCATAAAATGAAATGGGAGCTATTGAAGAAGGATTTCTTCATGCAAGCACCCGCAAGATTAACAACGTGCGATTACCATCGTGAGCTTGATATGGTGGTGGTTGGCTTTTCCAACGGAGTTTTTGGTCTGTATCAAATGCCAGATTTTGTCTGCATTCACTTACTCTCTATATCAAGGGAGAAGATCACAACCGCAGTCTTTAACAGGCTTGGCAACTGGTTAACATTTGGCTGTGCAAAGCTTGGGCAGCTGCTTGTCTGGGAATGGCGCTCAGAGAGTTATATTCTGAAGCAACAGGGACATTATTTTGATGTCAATTGCGTAGCATACTCACCTGACTCACAAATGTTGGCCACTGGAGCTGATGATAACAAAGTCAAGGTGAATAACTGGAGATAATAGCCACATTTCACCGATCCTAAAATCATTTTTTTTTACTTCTAAAGTAATTTTAGTTTGGAATTTTGAGTATTTGATTATTAATCAAACATCTAATCCATTACACCCAATGTTTTTCTTTTGTACAGGTTTGGACAGCTTCATCAGGCTTCTGTTTCATAACATTCTCTGAACACACTAATGCAGTCACTGCAGTAAATTTCATGGCTAATAATCATTGTCTTTTGAGCGCCTCTCTTGATGGAACAGTACGAGCTTGGGATTTGTTTCGTTATAGAAACTTTAGAATATTCACCACTCCTTCACCCAGACAATTCGTTTCTTTGGCGGTGGATCAAAGTGGAGAAATAATTTGTGCTGGGACTGTTGATTCATTTGAGGTATTCTTATTTAGTGCAAGGGTCTTTGCGCCAATATTTATGCATTTAAGTATCACTGATGTCTTGTCAATGTTTAAAAATAATGTTTCAGATTTTTGTTTGGTCAATGAAGACCGGTCGTTTGCTTGATATTCTTAGCGGTCATCAAGGGCCTGTGCATGGTTTAATGTTCTCACCTACAAATGTGAGTTCTGATGCTATCTCTTTTTCTGTTGTGCGAAGGAAAAGTTGTTTTGGCCTTATTGTGGACATTTATTTCAGGAATTAACAGCTTGCTTTCCTTTTTTTTTATCAAGACTTAACGCGAATAACACAACTCATTAATTTTTAAATTTTTGATGGACTGATTTGTACTACATTTGGGCTTGTCTTTTTTTTTTGAACTCATGAATGCACGTCATTATTGTGCCTGGTTGTGGAGATACCTATGGACAATAAGGCATTTAAATAAGAGGGCACAAACAGAGATGCAGTGCAAATATAAATTTGTGTTTGTAAATTGTATTTAATTAAGTTTTTTGGTTTAAACTGGCTTAAAGTTGATCTTTATAAGATCTTTTTTTAAGGTTTGCATTAAAATATCATACTAACTGATTCACACAGTAAATGGGTAAGTTCCAGCTTTTGAAGAAATAGTTTGATAGATTGCATATTAATAATAAATTTATTTATTTTCCAAGGTTTTAAAGTTGAAATTTCTATGCTAGCTTGTCTGGCTTTTTTTAGCTGAACCTACAATTGAAAGTAGTAGAAATGGGGCGCATACCACTGTTTATTAGCTATGTGCTAGGACCACTTTTGTTGGCTAAAGTGGTATGGAAGGATTTCTTGGCCTGTAATTCAAGCAAATTCTTCCGAGTTTATTTGTAGTTAGCAAGTGTTATTTTCGTAAAAGATTGATTCAGCTTTGCTCCATTAAAAATATTAATTGTGATGTGGCTCAGCAATAATCTACAGCTACATAGTTTTCATATAGTTATTTCTCTAATTTTTTTTCTGTTGATGAAAAATATGAATTCCTTTCTTTTCATTCTAATGAGCACACCTTGATGAATTTTTAATTGTTAGCAGCACTGGAAAATTTTTCTGAGTTATTTGCATTTTGTTTCAAAGATAATGATGGATCTTTGCTGTTGAATTTTTTAAGCCCGTCATTCTTTTCTTCCTCCTAGTTGTCTTTTGGGGTTTATTTTTTCTTCGATCCAACCCTCAGATAATAATAGGACTTATTAAGAGTATAGCTGAAGAAACTATAGAGGGAAAAGGGAGGCGGTTGGTTGTAAGATGCAATTGAGAGGAGCGTTATGATATCAAGACTTTCTACCTAGAGAGAGAAAACCGAGGGAGTCGTGAGGAGAAATAGAAGGGGACGGTGAGGTAATTTGCTTCTGATTCAGTTTGAGAGGATAAATGCTCAAGCTTGGTATCCCAATTCTCAAAAAATAGTGTTAAATTAATAAATGCTAACAAATTTAAATTTAAAACAACATTTCTATGAAATGGATAATTTAGATAGATTAGACGAAGAATGTTAATCATTAAGAACAATTATAGTTTTAATTTTCATTTTTTATTATAATTATGAAATAAGAAGTATAATAATATATAAATCAGTGGCTAGCATGATATTATGTGGTAGGGTCTAAAATTGGATCATATATTTGGACTTGCCCTAATTTATTGGGGGCCTCATTTCACACTTCTTCAACGGGGCTTAAAGAATTTGCCAAGAGACAGAATTATTGAAATCTTCTTGAACATGAGGTTCTTTCATAACTAGTTATTAATCTAATAATTTCATCAGGAGATAGTTCTTCCAAACCAAGTCTTTGTGCATCTTTCAAGCACTTTGTAATCATTTTACGAGTGGGTATTTTAGTCTAGAACATATTTTCTTCCGTTTATGGTGGTAGATAGAAACTCATGGACATCAACATATTTGCTGTGGCATAAGCTGTCAGTAAAGACTCATGAAGGTATCAATGACTTGAAGGAATTTTGATAAGATTTATATTTTATTGCTAAAAATATGAGCTAAATTAAATTTGGGTGATAAATACTTCAAATTTGCATTAGAAACACCCAATTTTATAGCTCCAGATCCTGCATGGAGTTTTTGGTATGTATTCTGCGGGAAGTGTTATAATCTAATTCAAACAGGAATAAAATCTTCCTTAGTAAATACTTTTCTTATTAAAATTAGCTTTTGTTCTATATTTATTGGTTTGCCTATCAATTTATAATTTTTAATCAGCATGAAATTATGACTGTGCCTAACAAATGATGCATTAAATTGAGAACATGATAAATGGTGGATCAATGTAATCATGTTTATTGGCCTTTAGGTTACGTAGCATACGCAAGGAAATTTATCATTTCATGGCTGGAAAAGTTGGAACCAATTTGTTTAACTGGAAGACCGGAAGCATTAAACCACATTTTTCTAAAATTTCATTCACAAGGAAAAGCAGTAGAGATCCTAGGCTTCCGTTGATCAATTCATTTTTAATTAGCATGAAATTATGACCATGCCTAGCAAATGATGCATTAAACTGAGAACATGATAAATGGCAAATCAATGCAATGATGTTTATTTGCTTTTAAGATACTTAGCATACACAAGGAAATTTATCATTTCATGGATGGAAAAATTAGAACCAATTTGTTTAGCTGGAGAAAAAATAGTAGAGATCCTAGGCTTGGGTTGATCAATTCATTTGTTTATTGGTTTGTGTATGAAGTATAGATATAGAAGGAACTCCCATTATTGTACATTTACTGAGAGGTTGTGTTAAGTTAGTCGACAAACAATAAACAAATGATAAATTTGTCGAAAAATCATGACATGAATCCTTACAAAGATTTCTCATAATCAGTTTGGATTTATGCTAGGCAGGTCCACTATGATTGTTATATATTTATTGAAAGGTTTGATGGAGAAGTACAGAGAGAATAAAGAGGATATGCATATGGTTTTTATTGATTTTGAAAAGCTTACGATAAGGTCTCAAGAGAAATCCTTTGGAGAGCTCTATAGAAGAAAGGTGTTTATATGACTTACATTCAAGTAATCAAAGATATGTATACTGAAACTGTTACTTGTGTTCGAACAGGAGGATTGACCCATTATTTTCCTATTTCAGTTGGATTATATCTTTTTGCTATTTTTATGGATGCTCTTAATGAAAATTTGCAGGAGGATTTACCTTGGTGTATGCTTTTTGTTAATGATATCCTTCTTGTGGATAAGACTAAAGATAAATTCAGGAAAAAACTTGAATTATGGTGGTCTACATTGGAGACTGAAGGCCTTCATTTGTGTAGAACTAAAACCGAATACATGGAATATAGTTTCAGTAGTTGTAGCTCTAGTGGCTGGCTATGACTATGGGTGATCAAATCATTAAAAAGTGTGAACGTTTTAGATATCTTGGTTCTATTGTTCAATGTGATGGTGATATAGATGAGGTTGTTATTAGAAGAATTTAAGTCAGTTGATTGAAGTGGAGGAATGCATCGGACCTATTGTGTGATAGAAAAGTAGTACTTAGATTGAAAGGAAAATTTTATAAGATGGCTGTGAGGCCTACAATGCTCTATGGCGCAAAATGTTGGCCTTTGAAAGATGAAAAACATAAAACAAAGTTAAAGTGTTGCTGAGATGAAAATGCTTATGTGGATGAGTGACTTTACACTTAGAGACAAAATGCGAAATTAATATATCCATGATAGAGTTGGTGTAACTCAAGTGGCAGATAAAATTAGAGAGGGTCTTCTTAGATCGTTTGGTCACATTAAACGTTGATCATCTGATGATCCGGATAGGAGAGTAGATTTTTAAAATTTAACTTATGTTAAGAAAGACAGAGGTAGATCTAGAAAAACTTGGGCATATTGTATAAAAAAATGATCTTAATTTATTAGAATTAAATGAAAACATAACACTCAATAGGACTCGATGGAGAAAAAAGATTCATGTAGCCGATCCCACTTAGTGGGATAAAGGCTTTTTGCTATTGTTGTATAGAAGAAACTCCAATAATGTTCTTCATAAGAAACACTCAAAATCCACATCATCACTAGAAATAATAAATTTACGTTATTTGTGTAATCACTTAATGCATCTGAACAACTGCAGTGCCATGTATCTAGTAGCATTGATTTTAGAACAATTTATGCAATGCACGATCTTTGAGATGACATTTATAAATATGAAATCATTCTTGCAAGACATTAGAGGAGCAAGAATGGTGGGAATTTGCCCAGGGTTATTCTTTATCAACTCTATGTAGCAATGCTTTTACTGACATTTTGTTTAAAACCTTTTAAGAATAATATGATAATGTGGTCGATTTGTTAAGAAACATTAGACACCAAATTTTTAGCGCGTGATATTTTTTTTTATTGAAGATGTACTAGGGGAAATAGTGCATTATGCATTTGTAGACTACATCTCTCGGGTAATTAGACACATTGACAAAGGCCACAAATTTATTAGGCAACTATAGACAAATTCATGATGTAGTTGGAATTGTTTGACTTATTAGCTGAAAGTTTTTTTAATACGGGTAAGTAGATGTTTTTTCCACCTACTTTGATGGATTCCATGTAATTTCAACGCACTTAGGTTTGATGATTTAAGTTTTGGTTCTATCATAATGGATAACATCTTTACCATAATAGCTAATGACATTGTCATTTATGGATAGCTTGCATATCATCAACATAATTATCTAATTGAATAACAAAACATCTCATGTAAAGATACTTTGTGAGAATAAAAACATTTATGGATGCGACTCTGTTTTGAGATAAAATTTAATCAGGATGGCTTTAGATTTTATAAATGCCATGATCCGTCAGTTTTTTATTTGAAAATGAAATTAAATTAATTTAATATGTATGTAATTTTGATTGTGAAAAAGGGAATTTTTAAATTTTTTTTTTAAAAATGTGACTGATTGAATCACTTATATTCAATAGTTTAAATAATTGAGCGCCATATTATAAGTAATATTTTTCTCGAAAGATGAGAATATCACTCGATAATAGTCTCAATTATTCAAACAAAGAAATTTATGATATTTAATTGGTTTGCAAATTTTCAACAGATCATTCATCTACCGAAGTCACTTAAGAAAACTCTCGATTAAGACCGGGATTTCATTTTCAAGAATTTAAAGT